TAGCAAACTCCAATTTAACATATAAATGAAAAATCATTAATCTTAGAACAATAACAATTTTAACAAGGCAAAGACATGTTTTTTTCACAAATCAACTCTAATGCAAAACCTCCTAGACCACAAAGAACCTACAATACAGAAAATAATTTCATAAAATTGACTTTATAAAACTCTGAAAATGAAAATTAAATAACAAATATCCAATATAATTAATAGAATTAAATTAAAGAGATTGTGAATAAGCTAAAAGAATAACATGGCAATCAAAATATCATTCTTCAATACGAAAATACTATCTTACAACCAGAATTAAGCTTATAACAATAAATAAGGGAAATAAGAAACAATATAACTCTCAAATATAAAATCGATTCATAAGAACTATAACCTCCAGCTTAATTAATTAATTCTAATTACACTGTGGCAACTATAACAAAATAATAGAGAAGCAAAGTCACTCTACAAAAATAATTAAGCAATGCTTTTAAAATTAAAACAGAAGTTTTTCCTTCATAACAATTGGATTTCTAAGTTCCTGAAAATAATTTTGAGAATGGAGATAATAATTATTCATCATTGTAGAATTTCTTTTCTGGTCGAAAAAGATTTTTGCAGACAGTAATTGAATAAAGTCCTGATAATCAACTAAGAAATAAATAGCCTTGTGAGGTTAACCAATTTAGAGTTAAGAGTTCTAAACCTGATAACTAATAATTAAATAACCTATAATAAAGACCAAGAGATAAAAGAATAGATTTGGTTAGACATATTTCAAATCCAAATCCAGGTCCAAATGTTCAATAACCTATGGAGAATATCCCAATAATAGTCGATTCATAAAGTATTAATTAAAATCAAAACGATATTTATTAAAATTAATTATATTATCAGGAAGAACAAAAGCATAATAATTAACTTTAATAAATACTTGTAAATACTACTAAATACCTTTTTTTCAAGTGTTAAACCAACGATTGCAATTATTTTTGTATAGTGACCTATTTTCATAATTAAAATTATTATTGCCAAAACTGTGACAAGTTAAGTGTTATAGTTGATTTTCATTTAAAAACCTTAACTTTTTAATGTTGTCACACTTTAAACTGTTTTGATATCATCAGAAAAGTGTAAAATGCTATATAAAATGAATAACTTGCTCGTTGTAGTGATTGTAAATAAGAGTTAGATTATAGACTGATTAAATGCTTCGATAAATCTAAATACTATATTAATATAAAATTAATAATTGATGCTTAACTTTTGAAGCGCTCAATATTGAAGAATACATAATTAAGAATTGCTGAATGCACAGGATCCGATTGTAATTTTTATACCATATGGGATTCTAATAAAAATTAAATACATTAAGGATTTTGTATTTCGTGTAACTAGAGAATTGCTTTTCGTATGGAAGTTAAGTTAAATTTTCTTAATAAGATTGATTGTGGACATGAACTATCAGCATAGTAATGATAGGATTAGCCTTGATGCATAGGGAGAGGGTTTTGCTTTTGTCATAT